TGTAACTTATCATGTAAAGTATGTTGTCAGGTAAGTTTTAACAACCCTACCAGAGTTACGAATTAATTGTTGTCTCCGTACATGTTCTATAATTCTATTTTCTTTAAGTCTTTTTAGTAACAGGTTTCTTTCTATTCTTTTGTATTTTCTTTGTTGTTCCGATTCGGGAAATTGCTGGCTACACATAATTTTTTAAACTTAATAACAATAACTGATGCAATCATAAATGAATTATACGGCATAGTATTTCAGCATCAGTGGATGCTGAAATAAGTCATAAGATTAATCAGTTAAGTATCGATATTAAAAAGTCTCAAGACTTTTTTATTTAAATCTACTAACATTATATAATATCGATGTTAGTTATTCAATTGACAACAAATTGAATTTTATGTTATTTAATTGAATTTTAATTTAAATATTTCCGTTATTTAGCTAATTAATCACATGATTTATTTCAGCATCCACTATTGCCGAAATCTACATGTGATATTGGGGTGTGCTGTGGCCAAAGACCCTAGAAAATTGTTTTTAAAAACGGCAAAAAATGTTTTGGGAAATAGCAAAAAATGTTTTTTATTGCGATATCAATAAAATGCTTTTTTTATTGTGTTGAATTGCCTAATTTTGTTATTATTTTTGCCGATTAAAATTCAGAATGTTTCGATGTTTATTCATAGTCTACAACAGAACTTTTTGGATGTTTCAGTAGGTATAGTTACACCAAATACGCAAATATAATTGGCATATTAAAATAGCTGGCCAATCAAAATTTTGTGTAACTTACAATGCATAAAAATGTCGTAATATTGTTTTATAGAGCAAAATTCACTAAAAATTGCGATTTATTGTTTTCTAATCTTTTCGAAATTTTTTAGGGTCCCTGGCTGTGGCCTATGTAAATCAAAACTATGTGGTCATATAATAAAATTTATTAATGAAGATTTTTCGATAGTTGATAATTTTATAATAATTTTATAATATTATTATAAAATTATCAACTATCGAAAAATCTTCATTAATAAATTTTATTATATAACCACATATAGTTTTGATTTATATAGTATACCGAACACCCCGATGTGACATACATTAACACCAACCATTAACACTAATGTTAGAGTGACACAAAGGTAAATTAAAATTTTGAGATTATTTAACATACAGATACTTTGATACGTAATTTATATCTATGCATCACATGTTTTTTTTATCAAGTCTGAGTTATGTTTTGTACATAAGAATAAATTCTATCTCAAAATTTTTAAATGTGAATAATTGTTAATTTATAAGCTTAGAATCAACTAAATCTTGCCCATAATATACATTGAAGTATATTTGTTAAAACTTGCCCAAAATCTACATTGTTTCTTGTGAAAACTAAGCGGCCGTTCATAAGTTGTTAAACATTTGGAGAGAAATTTTTTTGTACGCTCAAAGCAACAAAAAAATATACAAGTGTACTATATTTTCAAAATTTGCCGAGAAGTCATTTTATCTAAAAAAATAAAATAGGTGAGCTTTATTTATTTAATAAAACCAACATTCAGATATGAACAATGTCAATATTGAATCACTCCAATATAACCTAGACCCTAGGATGTTATATCTATTCTATTTACATCAATAACTTATAAATAAATCTACTCAGTGGTATTAATTCAATACTCACGTGTTTAATGAAAAGATTTCTTGTACTTTAGGCCGTTCAAAGTTGATTATTTTAGGTTAACGTTAATATTTTGGGCTCAGGCATGAGGGGGAGATCTGATTGGTCTGATTGGTCAGCTGGGTCATGTATCAGTGCATTATAAACAACCAATCAAAACAAACTTGCCTCTGTCAATCTTGTTGATCAATAGAATTTTCTCAAAAAATGACAACTCACACTAACACTAATAACAGTAGTAATTATTTTTTAAAATACAAAAAAGAATTATGGAATATAGCCCATTTTTTAGATTATAGAATAACATGTAGTGAATTTTCATTTGTGAAAAAAACTGAACATACTATTTACAAAAATGGAATTAAAAAATACTTACCGAGTGAATTGTTCGAACGATTTTCAAAAGCCTTTGAGGTAATATTTAAAAATTTTAATTTTGTTATTTATTTAATATTCTGATTTTGTTATTTATTTAATATTCTGTAGTAATACATTTTATTTTTGTAGAAGGATATAAAAGCTGATAGTTATGACAATAAATGGTTTGCCATCAAAGCATTTAACAACAAAGAAAAAAAAAGACAATATGAAAAGATGATAGAGAAATTGGAAAATATACATATTACTTCAGATATTTCTCATCATTCGGTCTCTATACGTCAATATAATAGAGCTAATGACCGTATATTTAATAATATAAAGGTAATAATAAATAATATATTAAATTATATTAGCAATTAACAAATTATATATTTAAATAGGATTTAGAATATCGTATTGAATCCGGGAGAAATGTGGCAGAATATCTCGAAATAATCTATAACAAATTTATAAATGAAAAATCACTATTTAATGTGTAAGTACTATATATATATTAAATTCTAAAAATAATTGTAATAATAATAATTGTTGTATTACATCTATTACTAGTCCAGAAATGTCAAATATCATCGAATGTTCTGATAATTCACCTTTAAAGAAAATATTTAAAGCCGATGAATAGAAAGAAATTAATGAAAAATATTCATTTCATATTGATGTAGACATTACTGTCTCTCTTTATTTAAATCATTTAGCTGATTTTCTATGTGATGATAACAATATCATTAACGATGATCATGAAATGCTTCGTCCACCTGATGATAGTTTACGACATATTGAGTTAAAATTTTATTACGAAGCTTTAGTAAAATTGTAAGTATGTCTTATATAAAAAATATTTTTAAACATTATATAAACATAATATTTGCTGTATATTTATAGAAGAATTTTGTGGAGAACTTTAGTTTTACTGCCCAACAGTAATATTAGTGAAGGCCAATATATAGCAGATTATTTACATGATATACTTAAATTAAATTTTAAACTAAATAAATATAATCTTTTTTCTTTTCCGTATGTAAGATTTATTTTATTTCTATTTTTTTAATGAATCATAATTTATTTATTATGTTTTTATTTTCAGTATCGATATTACATCAAAAGGATCAAAAGAACGTAAAATTAATGCTAAAAAGAAAAAACTGTACGACGAAAAAAAATTAGTTTCTAAATCTAATAGAGGTCATCGTGTTGATTTGATAATTAGGAATATATTAAATATAGATCTAATGGTGATAGAAGTTGTAGGCCCCCCGCATCGTAGAAATTCTAAGAAAAATCTGTAGGATTTCAGAAGAGGCATTAGAGCTTGTAAAGATTCTTACGAAAAATTTGTTAATAATTTGGTCGAAAAGTATGGCAAATAGATAGATGAAAGTGTTATTTATAACATTTATAATCAATTAGAAATTTATTATGCTCATATACATGGTTAGTGCAATTGAAGTTTTAT